TTCCCTCGAATATATACAGATTTCCAGTCCTGTTGATTTGTAGTATACACTCTCCGCTCTGAATAATTTTGGCATGCTTTTCGTTAAAATGCACCAGATTGCCTTTCGATACAGTTTGACTTACAGACATAAAATTTGCCTTCATCATTGGCACATACAGAACGTCGCTTAGGACAATGGTGTACCGATCTGTTTTAAGCTTGACCACTCCTTTTCCCTCCGCTTTTAGGAATCCGTCTCCAGCCAATCCAATCAACTCAGAATGCTCCGTCATGCTCGTAAACATCTTATCGTCGCAGCACATATGACTCGTAGCCGTTATCCAAACACCACTTCGAACGACCAAGGCTATCTGAGTCCAGGGCTCCCAACAAGCTGCACTGCTTTTGAACACCTGTTGGGGGTGGCTTCTTCTTTTGAGATCCATCATTCCGACATTCGGCTTTGATGTGCCCTTGTTTTCCGCATTTGTAGCAAATGACACTCTTTTTCTTGTTGAATGACTTCGTAGCAACAAACGCCTGTGCGTGCGTGTCGTTTTCTTGAGAATGAGACCGTCTTTCTCCTTCCTCTTTCACTTTGATTCGCAGCACCTCGAATTCTGGTAAGAAATCGCGCGTCTCAATGGCGACCACAAAATTTTCGTACTCTTTGGGAAGATTAACAGGATTATTGCTCGTAGCTCATCACTCATCTCGATGCCCACCGACGAAAGCTGATCTAGAACTTCGCTGAAAGAGTTTTTAGGCTCAGTAACTGTTTGTAGAGTGATACTTTTCTAACGGGACCACTCGGCTGGTGCGCCTCCTTTAGCTTCGTCCATGCCTCAAATGCCGTCGTACAGGATTTGATGTAACTCAGCTGGGATGTTTTAACACTGAGGGTGATCATTGCCAAAGCTTTACTGTTCTTGCTCGCCCAATTTGAGTCTTCAGCGGCACTCTCCACTTCCATTTCGACTGAGGCCACATCCCAAAGCTCCGCGTGGACCAGTACGCTGCGCATTTGAATACTCCAAGAATCATAATTCTTTTCTTCCAATTTATCAATTTGATAAAGCGCACTCATGCTGAAGCTGTGTTTCACTTTTGTTCTCACGCCACTCCCTTTTTGCACTCGTAATGCAAAAAATTACTTGTATTTCACAATTCCTGGAAATCTTTCTATTGAGCAATACTTGAGTATATATTCGTGCTCTGGGCCCATTACCTATTAAAGATTATTCCGCTTGACAGAGAAAAACACGTGCGACTTGGTTGAGTAAATATGCGTAAGTGATGGAACTTTATTCGATAACGTCAAAGATGGTACGTGATACAATATCGTGATATATCGATATAAAGCATAATACTAAGAGATTACAGTGCTGTTTCAATACATATATATACATATATATATATATACTAATGTGTATGTACGAACACAGCACAGTTGCACCCGTAGCATTACATCCTTAAATGTCCAGTCCTTGCGTTGCCAAATGAAAGGGTTCCAATAATTTAAAGAATCTTTATAAGGACGTTATTAACCTACTCGATAACTCGGAATCACTATGGACGGCAGTCCATGTAGTGACGAAGCGCACCAGGAGAGTGTGCGAAGGCGACTACTATATATACACGAAGAAATGAAAATCTACTGTGATGGTCCGATCATAATGAATAATACACCTATCGAAAGGTATTGCGAAAACTAACAGGATTGCATACCAAGACTTTAAGAAAATCAATTGGCTTGGGAGAGAGAGCGGTGAAAGTGAAAAAGTGAAAATTTCGAAATTTGGAGCTGTTGGGGCCGGTGGGGATAAATGCCCCCTCGCAATGTTTTAGTTGTATTCCCTTTGAAAATACCCGTCGAATGAGGGGTCATTTGTCAAAATCCGACTCTCCGTTCAAAAGTTATAGCCAAAATAAGATTTTCTTCTTCTTCCTAAAATGAAAATTTAATTCTGTTTGTCAGTTTGTCCACTTGTCCACTTGTCCACTTGTCCAAAATATGTTTTTTAAGTTCTGAAAATTTGATATGACGTTCATCACATCGATATAAAAAACTTTTGTTCTACCACTTTTGGAAAAACCCGCTAGTTTAGCGGGAAAACAGCTATAAATAGCTAAAATTCGGAAAGCCGTAACTTCTATACTACTAAAGCTACATCTCGTTTGAAAGGTATTTTTAAATGCTATAAACGCCTTCTATATGCAATTTTCGTAAATGTAATAGTTAAAAAGATATGAACAAAAGAAAATTTGTTTAAACTTTTTTTTTTATCTTTTTTTTAATTTTCTCAAAAACGGCTCTAACGATTTTCCTTACAACTTTAAACTGTATAGCCCTTGAGATTCCTTAAATTTTGGTATATAACACATTACTGTAAAAATACACGTTTAAAAGTTATTTTTATACGAAAATAGCCATTTTTGCCAGCTCGAACAACTAACGCTCCCTGAGTATTGAATTTTGTGGGAAGGTATCCGAACTGTATTTTAGGGTCATGGAATCAGTAAATTTGCACTTAAGAGTTCCATATAGGAATCTTTTGTTCTACGACTTTTGGAAAAAGCCGCTACTTTAGCGGGAAAAAGCTAAAAATAGCTAAATTTCGTTAGTTTGTAAGTTCTACACTACTAAAGGTACAGACATGTGCTATACCTCGTTTAAAAGGTAATTTGAAATACTTCAACGCCTTTTTAACTTAATTTGTTAAAATACAATAGTTTAAAAATTATGATTGACCAATTTAAATTTAAATGTATATATTAGCTCCTATGAGAGCAAATGTAAGCAAACAAAAACTTCTGATATCAAATAAAAACACCTCTTAACGAGGTAAAAAACTAGTGACGACAGCACAAGTCTGTAGCTTTAGGAGTATAGAAGTTACGGCTTTCCGAATTTTAGCTATTTATAGCTGTTCTCCCGCTAAACTAGCGAGTTTATCCAAAAGTGGTACAACAAAAGTTTTTTATATCGATGTGATGAACGTCATATCAAATTTTCAAAACTTAAAAAACATGTTTTGGACAAACTGACAAACAGAATTAAATTTTCATTTTGGGAAGAAGAAGAAAATCTTATTTTGGCTATAACTTTTGAACGGAGCGTCGGATTTTGACATATGACCCTTCATTTGACGGGTATTTTCAAAAGGAATACAACTAAATCATTGCGAGGGGACATTTATCCCCACCGGCCCCAACAGCTCCAAATTTCGAAATTTTCACTTTTTCACTTTCACTGCTCTTTCTCCCAAGCCAATTGATTTTCTTAAAGTCTTGGTATGCAATCCTGTTAGATTTCACAATACCTTTCGATTGGTGTATCATTCATTATGATCGGACCATCACAGTAGATTTTCATTTCTTCGTGTATATATAGTAGTCGCCTTCGCACACTCTCCTGGTGCGCTTCGTCACTACATGGACTGCCGTCCATAGTGATACCAGGGATTCCAGATATATTAAAAATGTTGTTTTTAAATTGTCATAAATCAAAACGCCTACTTCCTACAAAGTTACAATGTTTTTTCTAATTTTTGTTTGATTATTCCTATGGTAGCCCTAATACATAGTGGTCCGATCCGATTCGCTCCGACATATGTACCACCTGCAATAGAAAGCAGACTTTTGGAAAAATTCATCGCAATAGCTTTAAAACTGAGACACTAGTTCGCATAGAAACCGACAGACGGACATGGGTAGATGGATTCGGCTATTGGTGCTGATCAACGGAATCGTCTTCTTCACTGCGTTGCAAGCTTCTGACTGAAATTATAATACCCTTTAAAAGGGTATAAATAACATTTATTGTACCTTTGTAGGAAGTAGATTTTTTGATTTTTGACAACTTAAACACAACTTTTTAAATAGGATCGGCACTGCGCCGATCGATATTTTATCTGCAAGGGATTATAAGCTTCGGCGGGCTGAAGGTACATAGCTTCCTTTCTTGTTGTGATTCAGCAACATTTATGTATTTATATTCATATATATATCTTCTTCGTTTATATGCATATTCGTATATATGTATATCTTTTGCGTTTATATATAAAATTGTTCAGCCATTTTTGATTTTGATGTATCCCTGATAGCTGTGAGCAGTGTTGAAGTTCCGGGGGCAGGAAAAATATTTTTTTTTATTCCGCGCGCACTGTTTGATATATTTTTACTTTTACGGCATTGAAATGTATCATGAGCGTTCAGCAGAACAAACTTCATCGCTGATTACTGATCCATCAGTGATCATGTTGTTCTGCTGAACTCGGCCAATGTTTCCAAAATTTATAAAAACATCGATGCATTGATCTTTCTCCACCTCTAGTACTAACTAAAAATAGCTAAAAACATTTTTCATGATTGCGTTGAAATTGTATTTACTTTTGCGTTGTAATCCACTTAAGTCCCGTGTACCATCTCTCTTCGTAACACCGTGTCAAAATAATGATTATATTTTATTTATTAGGAAGAACATCGGTATGTTCATATTTTGATATATTTTTGACATCATTAGTTTTAGGCAGAACTTTTAGCAATTAAATAAAAAATGTAAACAAGATCCAATGGCGACTAACTAAAGAGTTAAATCACAATTTTACAATATAAGATAATAAGGCTGAGCATTCCTCAAACTGTTGAATTGCTCAATTGATGAAAATTCAACAGAAAAATTGGGGGAATGACCCATAATGGTTATTTTTGATTTTTTAAACAGCTTTTACTTCTTAAGAAAGTTTCACAAAACCTCAAACATGTTAAATTGTTTTTTTCTGTCTACAATTTTTATCGAGGTAAGAAGAACTACTAATAATATATTATTATACACATAATAATATTAAAATGTTGTATTAAATGTTGCATGACTTTTAGTAAAATAAGGTGAAAACGATTCAACAAAATTTGTAATAGTTTAGGAGTAGTTGAATTGCTGAAATTTTTGAAAGTTGGCTTTCTTTGGAACAGCTGATAAACAGCAATTCAACAGTTTAGGGAATACCCAAAATATACTTCTGATGAATATTTATTTATTTACGTACATATTGCACAACATATTTTGGGACATTCAAACAAAAGTTTATGTTTTTGCTTGCCAAATAGCTTAAATTATCGATCAAACGTAAAAACCTGTTATCGATTGCTTTTCTGCATACAACAAACTGAAAATAATTAAATATTAAACATTAATAATGAGTTTGTGTACGTTTTTTCAATTGGCACTGTCAAGAAAACATTTAGTGTCTTAGGCAGCCCACCCACATCTGTATTCGTCGGTGGTGGTAGTGGTTGCGTTTACATTCCATAGAATTTTTGTTCGACAAAGACATAAATAATGTTCATTAAACAAATTTGAATGACGACCATCCCCTCAGCGGATGGCGGATGGATTTCTGAGGAGAGAGGCTTTAGGGCTAGAACATGTCTTACATGCGAGTGCTTTCTATGCCACATCCTAAAGCGTTGCTAAAAATTTGTCCATGCAAAGCGTTGGCACTGCCGCTCCGAATTCCTTTGTTGCAATTGTTGTTATCTACTCTTAATCAGCTGTTGGATGTGGTCTTGAGCAACTCATCGTCATCTAGTTGGGCGAGAGCAACAGGAGACCCCACATCGATGGTAGTCACTCTATTTCCGCCGTCCGCCGCTGAGGGAAGCTTGATGAACTCACTGTCCGTTTGCACTGGCATTATAATGCAGATGAAGCATTGGCCTGTCTGAGAGTCCCGCGGATGCAATGTTACCGGATTGAACTTATCGCTTTGACCCTCGGTATATTTTTGCAGTTGCTGAAAAATTTCCGGATAGTGCTTGCGCAGTATGACACCGCGCCTTGAAAGGATGTGAAGAATGTTGGAAAGAATCAGCTCTCGCTTGCTGTATATGGAGCGCTGCCCGGTGTTGAAGGTAAGGATGATAATTTCGGTACGCTCCGGCACGGCGACCACTGAGAGCGAATGCTGAAGCGCTGCCTGCTGGTGCTCTAACTCGGCCAAAACGGTTTTACAGAGCTTCAGTTTCGCACAACGACTGACCAGTTGGCGTTCCCAGCGAACCGGCGCCTGTCCCATGCCCGGCGCCTCGGACACCACGCAAATGGCCACGTAAATGAGCATCTTGGTCTCCGCCTTGTACTCTGTGGTGAGCTTAAGAAGCTCTGAGTAAAGCTCCAGGCCCATCTCGGCGGGCATAAGATCCGGCCAGCGCACGTACGAAGCCTCGCCCATGCACTGGAAGCCATTCTTGATGAAGTTTTCTGCCGCCTCAGGACTGCGAAATAGAACACGCACGACGCCTCGTCCCTGTGAGAGGCTTCCCTTACGCGCCAGCAAGCTAAGGTGGCGCTGTGAGTCGAGGTCGTCCTTGCAGGTGGCTAGCACCTGGCGACACAGATTAGAGGCGCGCGAGTGCAGGCATGCCTTTCGATGCCTTTCCCAGTGGGATCGTCGACACTCACGCGAACAATATAAGTAAGAACAATTATGGCATGACTTGTAAAGCTTTTTTGCATCGCCTGGTGAAGAACTTTGGTCGCACTTCGGGTTCCTACAGCGAATTTTATGTGCCGATCCTACTTCTTCTCGCGGCTCCTCTATGAGTTGTCCTATTCTCATGTCCTGCTGTATATTTGTCGATTTGTCGCCTAGCGAAACCCGCCGGCTTTCCCTAAAGGCATTTGGCTGTGAACTTGCTCCTACTTCAACTGTCTGCGAATTTATGTCGTTTTTCTGTGGAGGGGCATCGCCTTCGCTGCGACGTCGGAGCCGCTGCTGTTCATCCGCCGATAGTACATCCAACTGCTGCCGACTATCTGCGACTGTTCCTGTGGAAAAGAAATCATGCTGATTAGTTGTCTAAGTTATGGGTGGGTTTTTATTAAACAGAGCTACCAATTTAGAAAAAATATGAGAGAACGCTATAGTCGAGTGCCTAGACTATCAAATATCCGTTATTCAAAAGCGGCAAAAACTTTTAATGCTCATGCGTTTTTAAAAAATTTTGCTATTAGAAAAATTGCTGAATCGGTATTAGGTGTCGGACATTTAGGACACCTTATAACCTTATGTCTATTTACATCTTTTTAGTTGGTTTATTTTATTATTTTAAATTTTACGTTTTATATGAATGAATTAATTAGAATTTTGAGTTTAATAGATTTGAATGAATTTGAATTTTGAGTTTAATAGAATCGATTGAATGAATGGCATGAATTCCGAAATTGTTCAAACGACATTTTCTTTTGAAGAAGAAAGCCCCAAAATTTTGTGATTAAGTCTGACTGAACTTTATTTACTAAGCAGTTAACATTGATTTGTTTAAATTTTTCACTTCTTGTTCTCAAAAGAAGATATGGAGATAGAATGCATTCGAGAAGGTATATTCGTAATCGATCGTTTCTCCAGCTTCTGGAACGTAGGCCTGTAATGGGTCATTGTTTTCGTTTCTCGCTCTCCCTTTCCATCGAGACTTCGGGAATCGTTCGGGTCGCACTTTTTTTTTCTGTTGCACGATTCTATGATTCCTTACTGACGCACACATTCGAGTGCCTATGCTGTTTTTCTCAACTTTGGGTTTCCACGAAATGTTGCTTGTGTAATTTTTGTCTATTATTTTTGATGCGCATTTTTCTTGCCACGCATCACTTGAGTTTTGGAACTTGGCAGAATCGGAGTAAGTAAGTACAACTAAACATTCTCAATTAATTGACAACTAATTTCCCACTTGTTCTTAAATACAAATGCTGTAAAAGGAGGTGGACTAAGTAGTCGATTCTACATTACATTGATGATGTCTAAAGACGAGATGTCTAAATAAAACAAATAATAAAATTGTAATTTTTAGTTGAAATCCACTATCTTTTATTTGGCTTCAAATAAAACCCTATTACGTGGTATACCAGTTCGTAAAGCATTTGAATAACAACCCTATATACAGGGTAAACCAGTCATTAAAACGGGTGCATTACAAACCTATAAACCAGGTATCATATTCAGTAATGCACTTGCATTACAGACTCATATACTTGGTATGCCACTCAGTAAAGCGAATAGGTTACCATCCTCTATGCAACAGTACATAGGACGGTAATGCAGCACGAAGTGTGCTCGGCTATCGCCTACTTTCTCGATTCGAAGTATGCGTTTTTGATGGTATAGTAGCGGAAAACGCGGCCAACCTTATGAAGTCGTTAACAGTGTTGTGGTATGAAACCGAATGCATTCCGGCTTCGAAGTAATGCGGTCGGAATCGTTTCTCGACGGCAAATTTCCGCCACTGGGTTGATGCTTGCAAATTTTAATTTAAAAGAAAAATGTGGGGAACAATTTTAATAAAAATAGGGCAAAGAAATATCAGTGGTGTATCCAAGTTTGGGTGTAACAAACAATAAGGAAATAATAAGAAATTATATGATTTTGTCAATAACACTAGTTTACAGCAAAAAAAGATAATCATTGAGACCAATTTTTATACCCGTTACTCGTAGAGTAAAAGGGTATATTAGATTCGTGCAAAAGTATGTAACAGCTAGAAGGAAGCGTTTCCGACCCCATAAAGTATATATATTCTTGATCAGGGGCACTAGCCGAGTCAATCTAGCCATGTCCGTCTGTCCGTCTCTCCGTCTGTCCGTCTGTATGAACGCTGAGATCTCAGAAACTACAAAAGCTAGAAGGTTGAGATTTCCCACACATATTCTTTGGCTTTCTACGCAGCGCAAGTTTATTTTAGCCGAGCGCCACGCCCCCACTTACGCCCACAATCGCCAACTAACGATTTTAAAATGGGTCCAGCGCCCACATCTTTAAAGATTTCCGAGAAGTATAAATGCAATTTTGTTGTGTATATTTATACTTATCGAAATGTAGAAGACATTTTTCAAATCGGACCATTCATTAAAAAGTTATACGCAATCAAAATGTATATATCTATCTCCCTCGCACTATCCAGTACAGCGTTCGCACTCCCTTTAGCTGAGTGACGGGTATTAGATAGTCGGGACACCAACCCGACTATAGCGTTCTCTCTTGTTTTTGATTAGTTTTGAGTTGCTGATCACGCTGAACAAATAAAAAAAAACTTCCAAAGAACCGTTCTGACTACATTCGCAAAAATCCAGATTTTCGACACTTCTTTTATAAAACCTAACAGATCTCAAAAACCATTAGACCAATAAACTTGTAACTTACACTACTTAAAAGGCAATAGAGGCACCTTTCCGAAAAGCTATTACTCGTTTTGATGGGGTCGCAATTAATGGAGGTACAACCGGTGACAGTTCTAAAAATGTTTTATTTCTGTAGTTTTTTTGTTATAGCTAGTTTTCATTTACTTAAAAAAAAAAAAATAAAAATGTATAAATTATTATGAGCTTTCAGATTGTTGTTGTTAACAAGTTAAGGCCATTTATTTGCAAATGGAGTTCAAATTCTAGGAGATATGCATCCAGGTTGCCTGCTCTTGATAGTTTGGTTTTTGACATATGTATAAACCAAATAAGAGTATTTATTGTACATTAAGGAGTATACTTTATACTTTATACGAAGGGGAAATAGTAGGGAACATATAGTAGTATTTTAATGTGTGTGTCTTTCTTAACCCGGTGTTTAGTTCGGTGAGGCACGCGAGTATCTCCTTATTTTTAGTAAAAGGCATCACGAGTCATAGGCAAGACCATCACACCCATAGCCGAGAGAATTTTTCGCGTGCGCCGATGGCTCGGGACAACAGCTAGCCTGGATGTATGAATATCAACGTAGCAAATGTTACAGTAATAAGTCATAAATTAATAAATAATAATATGAAGATTAAATGTATTTGAAATACTTCTACTACTACTCCTATTCGGTTCATATGTCAAAAACAAAACTAACAAAAGCAGCCTACCTTGAACAGTGTTGGGAAAGGTACTGTGTTTTTTTACCTAGGTAAGGTAAAAGCCTATTTTCGTTTACTAGTCCTTTAACAATTTTTAATAATTAAAAGTTAACTTTTAAGTGTTTGACAATTTCTGAATGACAAAAAGTAAAAAGTCCTTTTTAATCGTTTTAAAACTTACAATTATTTTATTTAATAAACATTTAATAAACAAATATTTTAAAATTTTCTTATTTATTTGTATTTTGTATTATGTAATTTATTTAACATTTTTAAATAATAATAATAATTTAATAAAAATAAAAAATTTTAAAATTAAATCCATTTAATAAACAAATATTTTAAAATTTTCTTATTTATTTGTATTTTGTATTATGTAATTTATTTAACATTTTTAAATAATAATAATAATTTAATAAAAATAAAAAATTTTAAAATTTAATAAATTTAAAAAAAAAAATTTTTTTAAATCTTATATTTTTAAATTTTTTAAAAAATTAAAAACTTATTTTTTTAACATTTTTTTTTTAAAGAAGAGGTTTTAGAGGAATTAATGCAAAAGACACGAAGTAAATCGGATTACTACAACCGGAGATTCAGATTTTCAATGATTTTCAATTAGTGTTTACTAATTTTCCGAAAAGTACACGTAAAAAAAGTTTCAGTCAAATTAAAAATGTGACCCAAGAAAAGGTGTTCGGTTTGTAAAAAAAACCCCCATATGGGCGGTTCTTTTACAAACCGAACACCTTTTATTGGCTCACATTTTTGATTTGCCTGAAACTTTTTTTACACGTACTATTCGGAAAATAAGTAAACACGTGTATCAGGATTTGACCGAAAAAAAATTATTTTCCTAGTTAGAATTTTTTTAAGTGTGCCAAAAATTGTCAAATTTGAAAAAGTACCCTCTCATTGAAAATCTGTATCTCCGGTTATATGAATCCAATTGACTTCATGTCTTTTGCATTAATTCTTCTGAAACCTCTCCTTTCAAAATAAAATTACTTAAAAAATTTTTTTTTAATTTCTTAAAAATAAAAACAAAATAAGATTTAAAAAAATTTTTTAACTATTGCCCCCACAAAAAAAAAAATTTTTTTTTTATTTTAATACTTGCGTCATATTGTTAGTTACAATCGGTTTTTGTAAAAAGTTGGAGCCACTTTTAGTTTTTAAAATATCGAATTTGTTTTAGCAAGGCCTCGGCTTTTTCTATGAAAAAACGTCGCAGCAAGTAGATCTACTCTCTCACTCTTATCGGATCCTAATGGAATTTATGTTTTCGCATTGTTTACTAGTCCTTTAACAATTGTTAATGATTAAAAGTTAAGTTTTAAGTTTTTTGACAATTTCTGAATGACAAAAAGTAAAAAGTCATTTTTTAATCAATTAAAAACTTACAACTATTTATTTAACCGTCTATTTAATAAACAATAATTTTAAATTTATTTTATTTATTATTTTTTTATATTATGTAATTTATTAAACATTTTTAAATATTTTTTTTAAGTTTTTAAAAAAATTTATTTAATAAAAATAAAAAATTATAAAATTTAATTAATTTTTTTTTTTATTTAAAAATAAATATTTTAAAATGTTTAATAAATTACATAATATAAAAAAATAATAAATAAAATAAATTTTAAATTATTGTTTATTAAATAGATGGTTAAATAAATAGTTGTAAGTTTTTAATTGATTAAAAAATGACTTTTTACTTTTTGTCATTCAGAATTGTCAAAAAACTTAAAACTTAACTTTTAATCATTAACAATTGTTAAAGGACTAGTAAACAATGAGAAAACATAAATTCCATTAGGATCCGATAAGAGTGAGAGAGTAGATCTACTTGCTGCGACGTTTTTTCATAGAAAAAAGCCGAGGCCTTGCTAAAACAAATTCGATATTTTAAAAACTAAAAGTGGCTCCAACTTTTTACAAAAA